ATAATGCACACAAAGAAATCCTAGCGCAAAAATTAAACACAAAAGATGCATTGTCCCTCCATGTCTTTTACGTACAGAGGCCAAACCAGCCAGTTCCTGGTTCACCTTCTTTCATGTTAAGTGGATTAAAAGTAAGATTAACAGACTGTCAAAAAGTATGTTAAATGATAGCTTCTGCTAGCTAAAAATTCTGATGGTTCTAAAACTCTGTTGGTGGCCATCTTGGCCTAGGAGGTTTAAAATAAATAAGACTGATGAAGGCAGAGGATAGGAGTCCTTATGGCCAGAGCAGTACATGGGGAGGAAGAGGTTATTAAAAATCCTTACAGAAAGAAAACACATAATCTGAGCAAGATTTGTGCTTTAATGCATTCATTTACGCTAAGAAACAAACATATTTGAAAAATAAAAATTGTGCTTTGCCTATTTTGTGCACAGAATTTCATTACTCTGTAGGTATTTACTGAAGGAAATACTAAGACTTGCAACATTTTTTGATTATTGTATCCACATCTTGCTTCTGAGCCAGACTGACCTGTTTTTGTATACCAGAATCCCACCTAACAATGAAGCAGTGCAGCACAAATCAGGAGATCTATGCAGGCAGTGCATATATACTGAAATACTGAGATTTTGCCTATCTGGGTAACCCAGCAGTGCAGAAGGGGTCTGAGTTACACTTCAGGAAGACTCACACAGATGAAGTGCAGGTTCAAGCCTGAAGAAAAACATGGGTCACTATGCGCTGAAAATAAACTTCCTCTTCATTCTCCAGTGGTGTCATGTGTTGGGTGGAAATGTGACTGCTCACAGCAGTGCAGGACCTACCTTTAGTTTCATTGGGCAGTCCGGCAGCAAAGCCACAGGACAACCTATGGGAGTGGAGTGGGTCTGGACCTGAGGTTCCATCCATGGTTTTTGGTAAAGAACACAAATGACTTCCTCCCATGGCGCAGTGCCCCCACAAAGGGCGGCTTCAGTCCTACTGTCCACCCCGAGCCCCAAGCTGGCAACAATGATGGCAGCCCCCACGCTTGCAAAAAAGGGCTGTCCCTCCAGAATGAGCTATCATGGGCCCCACGCTGGACTTCTGAGCCTGGGGTGCAGCAGGACTGTTTGGCTCCTCCAGCGTGCAGATCTACGTAAAATGGGAGGGGCTACTGGACATGCAGTTAGGTCATCAGTTAGCAGATAAAAGACAGAGGGATGCTGTTGTATTTACTTAAGAATAAACTGCAAAACTGAACCAAACACATGAAAACTGTAGGGTGCCTTAATCTCACAGGTTTTCTCACTGACTTCTTTTCCTCTTTTTAATTAGAGGGCTATAAAGTGCCCTCCACTTGAGTACAAAATGTTCAATACATGTCCCTACCTTTATAGCTGAAATCTGAAATGTCAGGAGAAAGGGAATGAAAAAGAGCCAAGCATTCAAAGGATGAAAAAGCACTGCTATGAGCACCCCCAATATCCTTAAGACGAAAAGGGAATGTGATGGTATGTCCTTTGGAGCACAGACCATATTTCTCTGGGTTTGTGAAACATCTGGCTTTTAGAAAGACAAAGTTGTAAGCTAAGCTTTCCAATAATCTAGAACAAAGAGCTTTACAAGACCTTCAGATGCCTTGTCTGTGAAAAAAAAAACCAACAAAAACAGAGGTATTATTATTTACACTGTAGTAAGCCATGTTGAAAACTGTTTATCCTGGGTATGCCAATGAAGTCCTTGTCTTAGTGCTTGAATTGAAAATAACCCCTCTGATAAATGTAAGCAGGATCAAACCTATTTATTACAAACAGCTACCTATATGAAGAGAAGCTTAAAACATGTTTTGACAAACGTAATTTCCCCTTTATGATATAAGAGAAATACACAGAGACCAGGCACAATGAAAATGATTTGTAAAAGTTTTAAATCACCATCTTAAAGAGGATATTAAATAGTATTTTAAACCACAGTGGGAACTGGATTGTTCTGCTGACTTTGTTTTTTTGCAGAATAGTTTTAGTCAACAGAGTTGAAAGAACAAGGTTAAAGAAACCAACTTCATCCACTTATAAACCTTTGATTATCACAGAGCCTTTACATTTAAGCTTCATTGAATGCAATATGATAATTTTTTTTCTATCAAAAGGCAAATTAAAATATTCAGCTTCTAATCCTTTTTGCCACTTCAACTGCTCATAAGATTTCTTGCACTGGCAGTCTATTTTGGTTGGAGTAAGACATTTCTGCCCATACAACAAATTATTTGTAATGTGCCAAAATTTGTCACCACAACTGATGTAAACAAAACCATCCATAACAGCAGAATGGATTTATCATTTAGTCATTGTTCTAGTCAATCCGTGTTTCTGTGCAGGGGCTTCAATAAGTCAACAGATGGCAGTCCATCTCTTCGTAAAGAGCCAGATAATGAATAAAACCACCAAAAGCTTCACAAAAGAGAAAGGTGGAAGGCTGTGTGTTTTTTCATGAGCATTCACAGTAATTAACTAAGAATACTTTATATAATGCAAAACATTTAGACAAACTTTGTAACGGCCGTTTGTAAGCAACATTATAATAATGGTCTTTTATTACAAACCTGAATGCCTTTTTTTATTTGCACTTACATGTACCTGTGTGTGTGACATGACCAATTTACCAACATAAATTTAAATCTAATGGTTGCATCCATGGATAAAGCATAGGAAAAAAATCTCTGTAGCCTTGGTCTGTTTGCTAATAATCCACAGCACAGCAACAACCATAACAGTACTTTTTTTTAAAACTTCTATTATTTTTCTTTAACTACTCTCATGTTTGCACAGAAATATTTATTCTAAACTAGGAAAATTAGAAATTAATTTCTGTAGTGAAATACCACTCCACAAATATGAGAGTAAAAGGTCTCGACTTTTTAGTTACAATTCTACAAGTCTACATATACAATATACATTATTCTAACAGAATTTTTGCTTTTTGTGAGAACACCACTTTGTTTTCCTTTGAGATCAAAAGAGAATACTTAAATGGAACAATAAAAGCTGGGACTCCTGTATTTAAGCCATTCAGATAATGCAGTTTCTCAAGGAATAACTTATTTTAAATATCAAGCATGTCTTTTGCAACAGAAATTTTTACATTCCAGGCTTAATTTGACTACTAATGTAACTTTAGGTCAAAGCAAGTCTTCCCTTTCAAAAAATGGAGACAGGCAAAGCATTTTCCACCTATCAGAAATGCGGATTATTTGCAGATAATTTGCAGTTCCACTAAAAAATCATTTACAGGAAGCTAGTCTGACTCTGCCAAATTATCTTTGAGTACCCGTATTTGACCACATTTCAAAATGTCCCCAAAATGCACTAACAATTTCCAAATAGATACTTTTAGTAATACACTTGTATCTGTAACTACTACATTTTCTGACAAAGGTTGAGGTTGTTCTAACAAATGTTGTTAGCTTCATACTAATTAAAGTGTAAACTCTGAGTGCGTTCCACAAAATTCACAGAAAAATTTTTCACCTCAGATACCTCAAATTCTGTCCTAGTAAACACTTGGTCAGGTTTAAGCTCCCTTAGAAAATTAATATTTTCTAACTGTTTGCAACTCATTTTGCAAGGAATTTTCAACAGCAAGAAAGACTAAAATTAAATTAAATCATACCTCAGCAAAAAACAGAAACCAACATATTACTGCATCTAATATACTTATCTGATTGTTAAGATTCCAAATGTCATAAAGATTCCAGAAATCACTTTTACATGCACCCCTCAGGATTATAATTGAAGACACTACTTACCTTTTTCATTCATGTAATTTTGAAAAAGCAAACAAAAATACTCACTGAATACTCACTTTTGATCCTAATGGTGTTTTCCTTTATTTTTATTTATTTTTGTAAAGACTGTACCAATTCTGCTTAAAATAAAAGTAAATGCTCAGCAAGGATAGAGGATTTCCAAAGCAGATCTTTGTTTTAAAATCATTATGCAGAAAATGCAAGAAGTGGTTTTAAGCCCAGATTTCTGCTATTCATTGAATTTAGAAATAAAAACAGAAAAGAGCATTCCACTACCATGAAGACGTGAAAGCAATAAATTATAAAACACATTCCATTTATTGCTCAAAAGAAAAAGCCCTCATCAAAGACCCACAAAGAAAACTAGTGGACAAACTTATCTACTTTGTTTTGAACGGGCAGAAGCAATTAATTATCTGTAAAAGCTCCATACATATGAGGTTGATAAGGACAGCAGTGACAGCAAAGATTCAGCTAACAGCAAAACCCCCTAATCTTTAGAGGCGTTTTCATGTATGATAATTTTATAAATTAATATATTCAAGATTTGTGATACTGATCCATAGAATATTGTCTTAATCAGTTAAATATTGTTCTATGTTTCAATTTTTGCCAAATTTATGCATAATTTGTTTTATTTTTATCTCTGTTCTATATATGAGGAAAAGCATTAAGTAATACACTGGTACAGTTCACAAAGTTTTATATTCCTGTTTCAGTGATTAAAGACCAACTAATGCAGGCCAAAGAAGTTACAGCTATATCCTTACCAATTTGCAATTACCTGCAAAAGTTTATAAAACATATTTGCTGAAACTAACATGGCCACTCTAGCTGAGATTTATTTTACTCATTTAAAAAGAAAGCTCTGTCACACACAGTAACTACCAGCATCTGAGCTGGCATTATTGCTTCTGCTATGCATCTGAACATAAAATTTAACCCCTTTTATATGTGTAAATGTAGTCACCAAGAGGGGAGAGTGCTGCAAGGCAGTCATTTAATGATTACAGTATTAAAACAAATTTGTAAGTCCTAAATATGTTTAAAAAATAGTGACAGTGTTTCACTACACTCTTCAGTTCAAAAACTCTTCAGATGTTTATTATCTTCTCACAGAAGATGCTTGTCTATATTTTATGGTCAGCAGTTCACAGAAGAGTAAATAGGCTGGGTGTAGAAGAAAATAAAAAAGGTGTTTCTACTTACTGTTAGGTGATACTGCCTCCATATTTCTGGGCAAGCCTGGAAAATAAAAATATTGATCAGCTAGGAGCATGAAACAAGGTGCTTTACAGCCTGTTGGTTTTGGCATAACACAGTATCCACTGGTGTCGGTCACAGGAAAATAAGAAGCTTAACTGAAAGGGTCTGCATTTCAGCTTCAAAAACCTGGCTAGACAGTTTAATTGAATTTTACACTGGTTTAACACACTCCCTGCCATTGTCAGAAAGCCAGTAACAGTTTTCTCTCTGACCTTCTTCCCTTAAGATTAGAAGTTTGGGAGAGTAGAGTGCTCTTAGATGTAATAAGTATAATACAGCAAAACAAACAAATTAATTTAAATTCTACATTTTCTGACATTTTAAATTTACATAATGTTTTGGAAATTAACTCTTAAAATACCTTCCTTTCATGCAGGAATATAAATATTTTAGTATTTTTGTACATATCTCTATCTTAATCAAAATATAATTGTTACATGCAATAATCCTCAGCAGCCTAATGTCAGATGAGTTGTAAACAAGAAGCATAACAGATTGCTTTAATGTTTCTATTTTTACAACGGCTTGCTTATTTTTTTTTAACTTGCCAGTCTCGCACACAAAATTTAAGTGTAGCCCCTTGTAAAAAAATGCAGAGCAGATTTTTGAATCACAGCAATAACACAGTAGACCTGAGGAATACATAAGAGACAGGAAATAGGAAAATGTGATCTTCTTCTTTAAACAAAATCAGAATGTATTAATGATCAATGAGACAGAGGTTACTTTCTCGACGGCTCTTAATATTTAATAAAACTTACAATATTTCTGCCTTTTGCTATGGCCCCAAGCCATAAAAAGACAGAGAAATAGTGGTACTTTGTCAGCCATTTCAGTGTTTAACTGAGTGTGCATTCCGTAACTTCAGTAGAAGTCTTCCACTTTTGTTTAAAAGATTTACCCTTCTATTAAAATATCTCCTTAATAATTTGAACAAGTAGCAATTTTGTTTGCCATTTTCAATTTTCAGTATTTTAAGAAGAAATATTAGTTATTCTGTGGCATCTACATAATATGCCTTAGCTCCAATTTCAAATACTGAAGCCTCATGACTACTTGCAAATGAGTACTATTAACATTTCTTCAGATTTCAAGTAAATTTTTCTCTCATGCCTAAATTCTTGCCTTCTTTTCTTCTGAGTATATTAATTAATAAAACCCCTCCTAACAACTGATACTAGCAACTGAGCCTCTCAAAAAATAATACAAGTTTTTGACAGTCATCCTATGGCATATACAGTATGTTTTTCCCGGATGTGATGGAAATTATTTATATTCATTCTGTCAGTAACACAATTTTCTGGAGAAAAATCTATAATCCGTTCTGAGTAACGATTCGACATTTCTCCTCTTACTTAAATACTGCATGTAAACATTTGAGTTTTATATTAATGTTTCTATAAAGAAAGTGTGCGAAGTACACCAGATTTCTAACAGAGGAGCAGAGCACAACATTTGAGTTTGAACACACTTGAGCTGTCTCTGAGCGCAAACAAAAGGATTTTCCTCCTTCTCTAACTTACACAGGATTTGGAGGTGTGAAACATAAACACACTCTAGCGTATAAAAATATTGTATCAAAGACCTTGCCTTCGCTCTAAAACCTGTAAAAGGCTTCAGCCATGAGACCTTCTCTGGCCTAGCACAGGGGTAGCAGGCAGTTATTTCTACATTAGTTCTGGACAGTCTTCGATTACCACAGTGTCCCCAGACTAATATGGTTGAAAAATCACAATCAGTGAGTTGTCACATACTGGCAAAATGCCACTCTGTGATATGACCTTTACTCACACAGTAGCTTAATAATAATAATAATAATAATAATAATAAAACTTTATTTTTGAATAATAGTTTGGTTGGGGGTTGTGTTTGTTTTTTTTTTTTTTTGCTCTGGGTTGTTTTTTTTTTAACACAAAGGCATCATTTCTAGCAAAAATCTGTAACTCAGAGTAGGGAACTGCAGTTGGCACAGCTCTTACCAAAACACTGGAAGAGGCACAGTCCCTCAGCAGTGCTATTCAAAAGTAGGCTTTATCATCACCATCTTTAAGGATGTTCTAAGGCTGTGGGAGAACTTAAGGGAGGTAGGAAGAAGGTAGTAGGGGAAAATTGGCCAAGTATATTTCTTCATTCAGATGGTGATTTGGTGTAATACTTTTCATCATCACAATCATCACTTACAAACTTCAGAAGTTGAACAGAATAGTCGAAAAAGGATGCATGGCTAAACAACAGCATTTTAGAAAAGATGCTTTTAACTAGGAGTTTTATTACCTTGGATCAGCTCAGAGTTATTGTCTGTATCGTCTATCACAGAATGACAAAAAAGTATAATTAACAATTACTACTGAATACTGGCTTCTCAAATGAAGCAAAGAGTTTTGCTATGGAAGAGAGCATAACCAAATCCAACAACCACACAACCTGTGATTTTTCTTATTCATTTAAAAGTACTTAACCGTGAATGGCCCCCATTTAAAGAAAAGCCCTTGCGGTATAAACTGTGATGGCAGTGTGATGAACTACATTAAAATAAAATTGCATTTATTTCCTGCCCCAGTAGTCTGACCTTACTAGCATTCAGACGTACCAGCACAAAGGGTGCCTACTTTCAAAAGCGATGTAGAACGCACAGCAGAGGTGCTTCCCTGCACCTTTCCCTACATCCACGTGCCTTTCACTGCACAAGTGCTGCTGGACAATTAATTTTCCCAAATCCATGCTGTTCATTGCTGCAGCCAGCATTTGGTTAATTTGGAAGGGTGATTATTCATGTACGAGTCTGATCTGGCTAAGGTTGCCACACCAGATGAATCATGGCTGGTTACTGTGCATTTTGACCCATACTGAATTTTATCAGGTGCTAATTATTGTTTTACCAGAACAAGGGCTTAATGCATCTGTTGTTTAATTCCCACTTCCCTATTCTCAAACGTGAACATCAAAGAAAATAAAACACTCAAACTCAAACAGCCCCTGACAGCAGCCCAGGACTCGAGTGCTCAATAGACAAGGCCCTTGCCACCAGTTCTCATATTTCCACAACAATGAGCAAACACAAAACCAGCACTAAGCGGCCTTTCCTCCTTTCCGCTCCCCTTGGCCGGTCGTCTGCCTTGCGCTGAGAGGGCCCTCGATGGCAGCCCTGCTGGGACTGCAGCGCAGGGGAGAGGATTAGCCTCGCTAACATGTGAGCATTTGCAAAAGGGAAGGAAAAACCCCACTACTGTATTTGGCGTATGAATAACCAAAATGCACGCGCTGACAGGAGACCGGGATGGGCCTGCTGCTCCCCGGGAGAAAATGTAGCTGTGATGAGTGACAGGGCTTTCAGGAAATATGTTCACAATCACAGACAGTGAAGGCCATGACCTAGATCGTTTAAGAGCTTGTCTTGTCAAATTATCAAAAGCTTCTTCGTCTCTGAATAAAGAGTGACATAAGTGAGTGTCAGAAAGCTGCAGGCTGACAAGCCAAGCATACAATAACAGCATGCACGTCACATACTTGCCGAACACTGCCACGGCTAGCGGCAAATCTTAATGAGAGCGCGGCTGGCCCAGGAGACTTGGGTCCCTGCTGGCACAGCTACTCATCTCGCAAAAATCCTTCAGCTCCAAGTCAGTTATGGTCTGACACGACGACTACAATTACTAAACACAACTTTTTAACAGAATCCTCTGGTGCTTTGTCAAAGCAGCGGCTGCTAGGAGCTGCCCTGCCGCAAGCCACCACAATAAGACAAAAGATTTGCCAAAACACACACTTTTCATCACCTCTGCATGGGAACTGCCACGGAAAACACACAGTGCTTCTCTTCAAAACCTCTCCTGCACGAGCAGATGTCGAGACCTCTCCCCTGCCACCAGCGCAGACGGCTGCCGCTGCTGGTGTGGTTTGGGCTTGGCTGGTTAACTGCCAGGACCGACCAGGACCCTGGAAAAGTTTACTTATGCTTACCATTAGGTGGACATAGACTTGCCCCAGAGGTGTGAAAAATGGGGGATGCTGCTGGGGAATGGGAGAAGAAGGGCAAACCCTTCTCTTTCTGCCCAGGTGCCCAGGTGAGGGCCAAGCACCTCTGGTACCGCTGGTGGGAATGGGCCACATTGGCTACAAGGCTACCAGCCAGCCCTGTGGGCTTGTCCCTGCACCTCCAGTCATGTTCTGACCTGCAGAGCAAAGCCCAGCATGGGCTCTGAAATGACACAAGCAGAAGGAAACCTGGGAGAGAATAGACTAAGGGTGGTTTACATGGCCAGAAAAGGTGTCAGGACATATGGAGACAATGGCGGCTAAGGTACCTGGCTGGGTCCTGGGAAGGAGTGTTTGCTGCTTCCCAGGGTGTGGGTGTGTGCAGACATGCATGCTTCTTCACATGAATGGCATGGCATGGCTAACGGGAGACAGGGACCTGGGCACTGCTGGCACTGATGGCTGCCAGATCCTGGACAAGCACAGGCAGCTTACCGAGCACTCACACAGTTTTTTGCCTCCTCCCTGCCAGCACCCTGTTTATGAAGTTCTAACCCTAACCCCCTTGCAGCTGGCAGATGAGACCGTAAACCACAGGCCACCTCACTGCCACCAAACCCACAAAACACAGGACATGGGGCTTTCAGCCTACACATACATAAGCATAAGTACATATATATGTCACACACACACAAGTATTCATACACATGTATATGTGTACACAATGTCTCTCCTAGTACAGACAAAAGCTGCACTTGAAACTTCGGAACAACTCTGCTACCTGCTCTGTGCTCTTACTCCTAAGGAAAACACATGAGGTTAAGCTACTTCAAACATGACTCCGTCTAAAACGACTTCATACATTTTCAGGGCTGTCTCAGGGAAAGAGACTGATTTAATGGATAACAACTGCACTACCCTGAAAATATTTTAAATAACTTTGAACCAGCTGAAGTACCTTGAGCTGCCTCATCTCTTCTGAACAAAATGCAACTATGGAGAGC